TGTTTGATGAGCAGACACGCAGAAAATCAACTTCCTATCAGAAATAAACACTTGAATCATAACCCTCTGTGTGTATAATAAATCTGGAGTTTCTTATATGCGAGTTTCTGTATTTAAATTGCCTTACTGAAAAAAAATAAAAACATCTGCCTTTCTTTTGTTAATGGTGGGTGGGTGGAGTTTTTTTTTGTTGTCGCTGTCACTTACTGTGACCTCCATTTCGACAGAGTCCGGGGTGAAGTAGACCATGACTGACTGCACGGACACCGGCTTGAGCGTGACGCTCCGCGGGAAGAAGAAAAAGAGGATCAGGCAGCAGAGCAAAATACTCAAACCCATGGAGATGCACACGTACAGCTTCCTGAAATCCAAAAACGGGCTTCATTAACATCCCTGAGTAAACGTCCCTGAACCTGATGCCGAAACATTTAAACAGAGTTTTACATACGTGCGTCTGGGTTGCAGCCGCACATCGTTGCATGGTATTACAGCCAGGAGCTGATCTTGCTGGCCTGTTGGTACAACAATAAGGAAAAAGGGAAGAAAAAAATAAAAAAGTTTTGTTTTTACTGGACACAATGGAGAAATGAAAGCACCAAAACAGTTATGGTTTCCTTTGTTGTGGAAAGAGAAATGAAAGCCATGTGTAGATCAGCATTTCAAATGCAGCGAGCTACAGCAAGAAACAGATAAAATAACAGAACAAAGATTGTTTTTTGTTTTTTTTTCCCAGAAGAGTAAGACCAACCTCGGGGAATTCGTCCGGTGCCTTTGCATGTTGGGCAGCTGTCGCTACAGGAGCTTCCATTAATACTGCCGTACTGAAGAACCTGCTTGACGTTTTTCGCGTTCTCCATTGTTTTTGTTATTTCAGGATCCACTCCTCTCCTGCTGCTGTGCCCCGGTGGCGCCATGACCCTTTACTGACAGACAAAGTCCAGCTTAAGCAAGACAAGCAAGAAACATAACTGAAAAAAAAAAAAAAAAACAGCTGCATCAGGTCCTACTCTGGTTACCTATTCAAAGTGATTTCCCCACAAAACTTTTAAATGTCAATAAAAGCTCATTCCTTCAGCCCATGTCAGACCTTATGACGCAGAAGGGGCCCAGGGATCTTATCGACAAAGCCACGTGTTTAAATCTTCAATTATCTGATCAATTTTTTTTCTCCTCTGATTTAAATGCATTCGCTTCCAGACCCTTTTACTCTAATGTCTCTGATCAGCTGAGACACAAAATCAGACTTTATGGTCTATATGCAAAACACGGCATACAGACGAAAACAATGTACATCATCCACTGTGAAACATGGCGGTGACACCAAGATGCTGCGAGGAAGCTGGGCAGACTCGAAGGGGGATGGAGCTAACTAAAGACCAAATCTGCAAAAGACTTGAGACTGGGACAAAGGTTCACCTTCCAAAAGGGCAATGAGCTAAACACACAGTTAGAGATACGACGGAACGATTTAAGTCAAATGACCCAGTCGAAGGTCATACCCAAATCCTATTGAGAAACTGTGCAGGTCTTGCAAACAGATGCTCATTGGTGGTTTCCATTCAATCTGACCAAGCTTGAGCTATTTTGCAAGAAACAAAGAAGGTCAAAACTTTTGGCCTCTATGCACAAAGCTGGTAAAGGCATACTCCAAAAGACCTGCAACTGTTATTGCAACTAACGCTAGTTCCATCTTGTCTCAGGTGGACTTAATATAGGTTGCAATTGATAGCAGTGTTTTTTTTTTTTTGGCAATTAGGTCAAATCCCAGCATGGGGTCTATCTGCATTGGATTCAAACCTTCTCCCACCCCGGGCATTCACAGGTTCGCTCTAGGAATTCCAGTCCATGTAGGGTTAACTAAGCTCCAAAATAACACTTAGAGATAGGAAGTTTCACATGGAGTGACTGGACATGCATAAAAGCAATAAAAAAATATGTAGCATGTACAACTTTAAGATAAGTTATATTTTTTTGTCTTACATATGTGCACCGCCCCGTTTTAATATCACCCTGAGCAACAGCCCATTTCAAAAATAACCAATGCATATAAGTCTGTGTTAATCTAGGATGAACTGACAACAACCCCAATAACCACTGGAGATAGACTCCAATCCCCCTCTAATGACAATTAGTTTCTCTTCTTTCTGTATTATATCTTCATAAGTTATTCAATTTTACTAACAAGTAAAAGATAAAACAGACAAGTTGACTGAAACAAAGCTTTTTACTTGTGCTGTACCAGAGTTCATACAGTTCTTGTGTCTTTTATCTGCAGTTATTCTGTTGATGAGTGTACATGACACAAAATGATAGGAACTTCAGGAATGTTAGCTAGCCTAAAAACAACAAGAGTATTAGTCCTTTCATATTCCACAATGTTATAAAGACATGTTTGATTCGAAGAAACCCCACCACTCATTAATAATGTCTGGACATCGGACACTGTCCCAATCAGGCTCATATGCTGATTAAATGAGTATATTGAGCGTATGATCTCCCACCAGCTGCATACAACATGACTTTCTTTGAACGAGACGGACTCTTCGCCCTTACCTTCACAACTTGGCTGCTGCTTCTAATTCCAGCTGGTATCCAGAGTGAATTTATAAAATGTCTGCTGTATTAATTCTCCTTTAAAAAGCCGCATTGAAAGTGCTTTATTTTATTTTTTATCTTTGCTGCGCCAACACAACGAAAACAGCAAAGGAGAAATAACTTCCTACTTCTCAGCGGTGGGTCAGTTCCTGTATGTGAAGAGCAGAATCACATGGTGGTTGAGTTATCGACTTTTTCTTCCTTGGGTACTTAACAGTGTTATGCCACTAAGTATGGGAGATTGCGCAATATCCGCCCCCCCCCCAAGCAATCCCCTTTGGATAGAAAAGAAAAGAAAAGCAAAAAATAAAATATCTTTAATTCTTTTGGTTCAACTCTTTGTGTTTTTAAGACGCTTTCTAAAACATATTTGTACTCGCTGCTGGCTTTTAATACAGTGCGGCAGATTCGTTTGTTGAGCTTTTTGTGTTTCTATGTCTACTGTAATTGTATTTTTCTTTTATGTTGGAACTACTGTTATTTGTTTTTTTTCCTGTGTACAGCACTGTGGCAAACTTAAAAGCACATTTAAGTCGTGCTTAAATGTGCGATATAGATACACAACTAAACTAAGCCAAGCTGTGTTGACGAAACTAAATTTGACTAAGCTAACTTTGTTAAATTAAGCTATGTTAAAGTAAGCTGAAATAGACTATGGTAAGCTAATTTGAAAAGTTGAACTAAGACAGGCATGTTTAACTTAAGCTAAAATAATTAACTAAATTATACTAAGATATGTTAATCTGAGCCTTGTTGAACTAAGTTAATCTAATATGTGTGAGACTAAATTTATGTAAAACAGCTAAGGCTGTGTTAAAACGTGACAAGATAAATGACTCAAAAACGTGTTACACTTAACTAAGCATTTTTGAAATCTAGGTCAATGTCAGCTTAATGCAAGCTAAGCTAAAATAGACTTAAAATTAGTTTCTAATTTAGCATAACTTAACTAAAGCAAATTATAATAAATCCATCCTTTTAAACAAAGGTATTTTAACATGACAGAGACAGAGTGTCAAATGAGTGACAATTTATGGTGAAATCCTCTGAATTTACTTTTTTTTTTTTTTACCTATGCTGTATTTAACACCACGCTAAAAATTCAGTATCATAATAAGTACTGAGATTTGCTAAGTTGACAAAAAAAGTAATAATGGCGACTTTCATCCAGCCGTTCACACCGCCGTGTTTGAATTATTTACAACTCAATAACTCAAAATGAATCTTAAAGGATTTATTTTCTGTACCAACTTTCAGACCTACATCTCTAGATTTTCAGTGTTAAGGTGGAAAGAAACAGATGGGCAAAGAGTTTATTGGCAGATTGGGAGAAGAGTATTTAAAGTGTACACTCTTGCAGAAGAATAATTTGACAAGCAAGGTAGATATAGTCAGAATTACTCTTAAGAGCTTGTTTTTTTTTTTACTTGAACAATTGTAAACATAAGAAAACAATGGTTCCTAAAAAGCTCAACCACACACACACACGCAAAGTTAAGTCCAGACACACAACACAATGTCAGCTTACATGACAAGCATGTTTCAGTAAACTAATCATCATCGCACACGAGGCAACGCAATCAAATCAAATATACTTGGGTCCATAAGCTTTGAGGAATGTGTTTTAAGAGACATCTCAGTTTAATTAGTGCTAACTGAAAATTGCTGGGTTTCGCTTTGAGTTTTTGACCAAGACATGTGAAAATGCAGGCAAGTGGGGGTGGGGGAGATGATAAAAGATGTCACAACGCTGTATTTTTGTTTCACTGTGACTGTGCTAAGACCACAAGAACATGACTCGTCTCTAATAGCCTCTATTCATCATGCAGGTGTCAAAAAAAACATCCAAATCTGAACAGTGATCCGTTCTGAGAGTTTGGTATACATTCCACATGTCAACGTCTAAAATAACAGTACTCTGATACAGAAGAAGATTGCATTGTTAGGCAAATTTCACTACAATAATTAAAGAAAAAAACAAAAAAACTTAAATATCTATTCTTATTACTGCACTCTGACTCTTAACCCATGCAGCATCAGTAGCATCAGTTTACTCCAGAGCTAGCTTTCCTGACCCGGTTCACCTCACACAAAGTTTCATTTTCACCTCTATGTATATGAACCCGACCTTAAGAGAGCACAATTATTTTACAGCGCTGAGGAAGCAGCTACATCAGCCATACAAACACAGGGATAAGGAAATGATGGGTGGGGGGGGTGAAACACTTAACTCATCGATATTTCAGTTTTCGCTCATTTTCGACCAACACGTACAACTCAACGGCCCCAGGTAAACAAAGCTACCGACGAGAATCATTTACAAGAAGGTGTACAGTAAATGGCTAATTTTTGAAGAAAGCAGTAAAGCTAAATTAAAACGGGAAAGAGAAGCCATTATATATATATTTTCAATTTTTCTTCCATATATTTGGAGACGAAAGTGTAGTGTAATGTTGAAAAAGCAATTGAAAAAAACAAAAACAAATCCAAACACAAGAATATGAGACATTTAAAAGCCCAACTCTATCATTACTCTTTTTTTAAATTAAGCTCAAAAGCTGAAATAACTCTTTTCCTATGAGTCTAGGAGGCGCCTTCGCAAAAGCTCGGCATCGGCTCATTGCGGAGGGTCAGCAGCTTCATTCTGGCTTTCCTCGGCCATCTGGACCAGCTCGTTGACGGTGTGCAGCAGGTTGTAGCCGTGCTTCCTCAGCAGCTGCTGGTTGAGCTGCTGGTCCTTAAAGCCCATCTCCAGCAGCACGGCCATCATGGAAGGGTCCTGTCTGGCAGGGTCGATCCCTCGCTGGAAGAGGCGAGAAAGAAAGAAAGAAAAAAAAAAAGGCAAGGAGGAAGGGAAAAAGAGAAGAACATAAAGAAGGTAAATCTCCACTCAACGAATCATGTTCACAGGGACAAAGGTGTTTTATTTGAAATGAGTGCAACTTGTGCTTAATTTGAGGAATTTTCCTTCCAAAGTGCAAAAAAAAAAAACATGTAATTTCAGTTGAAGATTTCTTGTCTTCAGTATTGGATTTTCTGCTCCCCCTTCATCTTTATAAAAATGCGTGCCGTCTCTAAAATCAGTTTTTTTGCTCTCAAGTGTAATGTGTTTTGAGCATTTATACTCTCTTCCTGTCTGCAGCCTTCTCCTCTCGCTTGAACGTCCTCTCCCTCCTCAAGTAAAAGCTGTGTTGTCTGGAGAGAGTAAAAGTCTCTGTGATGGGAGGGATGAAAAACTAAAAAAAATAAATAAATAATAAACAACAACAAAACAAAGTGCCTCTGCTGTAGTCTGTTAACCTGATATGTAATTAGTGCATATGCAGATTTTTAAACAGATGTTTTACTTATATGTTATATGTGGTAGCTCACCATCCCCTGGAGTAAATTGTGAATTACTAATAACACCCTAAATAAAGCTAATCATGACAATTGTGTCACTCTACGCTCATTCATCAGCTCGTTGTTGAAAACAGGATTTTATTCTTAACAACTCACCATGTTGAATAAAATTTAAATAAATATATTTTATTAGATGGATCTAGGCAGAGCTACGGCTTTAAACTGCAAGAGAGCAAAAAAAAAAAAATGTAAATAAAATAAAATCTGCAACCACAGTGATCAGACTTACAGGTACAACTCAAGAAGGGAGAGAGTTTGAACAAGAGGAAAAAGACGCAACCTTATTTTTATTTATTTATTTACTTATTTTTTGGGGGGGTTGAAAGCAGATTTTGAGTGGAAGCAATACATCATCTGAGACTCAAATAATTTTCCTCTTCAACTGAAAATGTAGTATTGGATGGGAAATTCTTCAATAGGGATACAAATGTACAGAAGACGATTAGGGTCACTGGAAAAAAAGAAAAAAAAAAAGAAAGAAAGAATTCTTTTTTTTCTCAGAATTCTGAGATTAAAGTCAGGATTCCTTTTTGTTTTTTTTTTCTTTTTTTGTTTTTTTTCTTTAAGTGGCCCTAATCCTCTTCCGTACAAACGTGCTTGGAAACAAACAGGTATTTTCTGCCTTGAAAAAAACTGGCACAAAAACTACTATGTTGCCTAATTTGATGTATTCAGATGTGTCATTGAGTATTATTGTTGCCTGTTCTCCACAAGCATGAAAAAAAAAAATCAATGTCTGCTGCTGGCTCAATAATTGTTTACATGACATATATCAACATCATGAGTTAAAGACTATTTAAAGAAGAACAACATTTATCTGTAGCGTATTTTAACCATATCTGAGGTAAGAGACAAAAGGAAAGTCATATATATATATATATATATATATATATATATATATATATATATATATATAT